ATAACAAATGATAAAACACGAAAACCCAAATTTTACTCTATTTGTGATTAACAACGCTAAATCGGGTTCATCTAAATAAGTCTATATATCATTACTATTCATATGCAAAACACACCAGAAGATGATGCTTTCTATGAATTACTAAAAGACCCTGTGAAAAATGAAGCCCAGATTATTGAGATATTAGCAAGAAGATTCTATGAAATTCAAACAAAACAACACAAAGTTTATACATTGTCTATAGCAAAAGAAGGAAGTGCTTTTCCAATTCAGTTGACAGATGATGGTTATTTGATCTTAAAAATTCCAATCACCAGACCCAAATAATTCTTCTCATTTATTCTATCTCTTTTCATTTTCTCTATTTAGTTATTAATAAATTGACTATTTAAGTAATAAAAATAAGTTTGCTCTTTATTTTGTTTCATTTTCTTTTATTCTTAATCAAGAAAGAATAGATATTGTTATTAAAAGATAAAGATATTTTTGAGTAACTGATTTAAATAAATGGTTATGATTAATAATATATTGATTATTGATAAAAAGGGATATGAATAAAATTTCTGATACAACATTGTAAATTCTTCAGAATATTGATTTAAATTTTTGATAACTAGTTATCTGGTATTATATCTTTTTATGTTTAATATTATTTTTGATTCACTATCTAATTAATTAAGAATAAACTTGAATAGTTATTTAAGTTTTGAAAAACAATAATAGGTCCCTATAATAACCTCTTTTTATTGTCATTATAATATTTGTGATTTGATAATTTACATCGTTAATTATATCAAAGATTAATCATAATAATATAATAATGATAATCATCATCTTTGTTTACTAAAATCATTTTATTATTTACAATCTATAAAATTATATTTAATACTTAGTATAGTGTTATCTTTTAGTACATTTATTTGTTGTATTAATTATATTATTATTTGATTAATATTTGTTCATTTTGATAAATTATAATAAAATGGAAGAATATTATAAAATAAAATTGTATTATAAAAAGTATTATTTAAACATATTCATATTTCATATGGGCTATTGTCTAAACACTAATTTATATCTTTATTTTTTATTAAAATAAATTTAAAACTAAAACAGTATTTGTTACAAAACTTTTTTTTGTTGATGTTCACCCTTAAAGTCAATTAATATTAAAAACAATTAATGAAATAGAAGATACGTATTTTTAATAACCAACATTAACACTGATTACTCAACCAATAATCACAATACTTGGGAAACCTTGTCTTTAATTGTGAGTTTGAAGAGAAATTAAAACAAATATAAAAATATTAAACAACCCTTTTAAATGAATTATATGAAATAACAAAATTATATGAAACGTATAATCAATAAGTGAATTATTTATTACAATAAAACTGGATTACTTAATTTTGAATAAAAGCATATTTTATTTGTTGCTTCATGTTATTTAATTTAATGTAACGTTTTCGTCTAACCCTTCTTTTAATTTGAACAATGATATTTTCATTATTTAATAAATTAATTCTTTCATGTTTATTTCCTTTTTATTTTTCTTAAATATCTTAAGAAAAGGATACGTTACAGGAGACACTAAAGAAAATACAAAACAATCAATAAAAAAGAAGGAGAAATCCATATCATCAAGAAATATAAATGATAGAAGAGTGAGTGAGTGAAAATAAGTATTATCTATATAGATAGAAATACAATATTTATCACGTTAAACATTACCATAATAATAACTATCACCTAACTATTACCATAACAATTTCTTTATTAATCGTAGAATCATTTCACTCATCACTTCAATCATTTTCATTACCATAAGTATTTTATCATTAATTCAAATAGAAATAAATATTATAATTGAAATAAATGTCATAATGTAACACAAAGAAGATATAAACAATAATAATAAAGAATCAACAAATAAGAAATAAAAGAAGTGATAGAAATACAAAACCAAGAATATTGGAAAAGACTCTTTAAAGATGAAATCAAAACACTTACAATACAAGAGCTAGAAGAAATTAAAAACACAAAGATTAATGAACATAAACCAATAATATGGAGAAGATAATATTTACTTGCAAGAGAAAAAACAAAAATTAATAGAAAGAAGAGACTATCAATATAATGACTGAAGAAGATAACAAACAAGTTAAACGATAGAGCTAAGCAATATTATTTAAATTAGAATTAGACTTCAATAGAGTATTACAACAATAAATTAATAACAATATAAAATAATTAAAATATATTAAAATAAATGTTCTATAATAATATGATTGTTATGTAGATATAATTTAATAAATACATAGTAGAAAAAGACATGTACTAGAATAATAACCTCTCAACTACCATAACATATAGTTATTTAATTATTAACTTTTTTTCTTTAGCCGATACTAAGATAGACTAGTTAATACAATGTAGGTATGAATGAAAAATGAGCTGTACTAGTATATCTTAAAATAAATGTAACAAGCAATAAACATTATTATTTCTATAATTAATTTAGTTTATTTTTTCTTAGATACAACTCTTCATCAAGTCATCAAAACAGTCAGCTTTTCCTAATCCATACAATGCCGTCAAGGACTATATTTACAACAACTGATTAAACAACAGCCTTTTCAGAATAATAGATAGGTAGTGATTTGTTATTGTTTTTGAATAAAAATAAAAACATGAAAAATATTTTCACTAAGTAATAAATTTAATAGAGGGTGGTGGTTGTTCTGGTTTATAAAAACCCAACAAAGTATTAAAGAAATAAAGTATAATACGTTGTGATAGTACAAGTTACAAAAATATCAATTGTGAAATTAATAAAATAAAAAAGAATTTATATAATAACTATAAGTACAATTTTTTATATTAAATTATAGTAAATTATTTAAAATTGAAAAGGTTTAAGATAAACCCTAAAACAAAAAAAACATAATTTACAAAATTATTTTTCATTATTTTTTCTCTGTTATTTCTTAGATAATTTAACTTTGAAATGCAGGGAAAAAATAATGTAAAAAACACTCTTTTTCGTCCCTGCACCAAAGCTTTCATGAATGAAAACTGTGCAACCAGACTTAAAACACTACCACTTAAATTTAATACTTATTGAGCGTTAGTTTCTTCAGCAACTTCTTCTTCATCATTTTGGACATTGAAGAATTTGAGTTCGAATCCATCTTTCTTATCAGAGACAACTCTTAACCATCTCTAAGATGT